AAGAGAAACAATACAATAGTTATTGTAACTGTTTTTAATCACAGCAATACAATAACAATAAATAATGTTTTAACTGCATCTTTGTTATTGCAATACAATATTATTGTATTGTAATGTGTTACAGTATTTAATTTTTACATTTATAATTACAACAGTCCGAACCCTACTGTTCGCAAATTCTGGCGCATTTGCGCCGATTTGATGTTATGTCTTTGCAACTTTGCAACAAACGCAGTAAAGTTTCTGCAACTACTTTGCACTTATTTGGCTTTCACAGAAAACAGATAACAAACTATATTATGACATAAAAATAATTGTTAAAAAGTAAACCATAAAATCTGATTCAAAAAGCAAACCTATAAGCAACACTGAAGAAAAAAAATCAAATTGAACTTTAAACAAGCTATATTTATAGAAAAATCTTTTATCTTGGCTTGTAGTTAGTAATTAGAAGCTGTAAGTAATAAAACCAACTAATAATTGTTTTTAATGATAGACAGTTACCTATTCAGCATTGAACTTACTGTATACTGTGATTGTTCATACAATATAAATAGTGGATATATAACAACTATTGTTTTAACAAATGCAAGTATCTTATAAATGTATTAGGAAAATTGTTGCTAAAAAAATAATAATAATTATAATAACTGGTAGCTTAAGTACCTTACTAAACAATATTTATCCCTATATATTTGAACTCAAGGAACAATATTTAATAAACAATCTGAATAAGGCAGCAAGCAACGCAACAACAATTGTAACATCCCCAAATAAGGTGATTTTAAAGTTATAGTCTTTTGACGAATTTAGTTGGCTAGTTCGGTATTTGAAACAGTTAAGTCGGGTGAATTTTAGTTTTGAGGACCTTCTTATTTTAAGTTGGTACTTTTGAAGGATTCACTCCTCCCTCATTTTATTTATGGAATCGCCTCTGGTCAAGAGTGGTTCTGAGATGTTTAACTGGTTTTTCAATTAAATGGGGTAGTTGTATGTCTAAATATAGGTAATTAAGGTTATGGAATTCAAATGTAGTTTTATATTTGGTTTCCAGGAGTGGTTGTTATTGCACAGGTAGTCAATTTAGGTGAGGTCATGGGTTGTCAACACGGTATTTTCTTTATTTTAATTTATATTATGTACTTAATTTATAAACATACAATAAAATTGAACTTTATAACATAATTTTTTTTTTAATAAGAATCTGGGTCTCCTCAGGTTGATTAATGTCTTTGACTCTCCCCTGACTACTCGTCATTCAGGACACCTTAGTATAGTAACTGCAAAGCATTCTTATCATAAGATCATAATTTATCTGTGTCCTGGAAAATTTCTTTGTGTAGTGCTCTATGTTGTTTTAGTTTAAAACATAAATATATAGATGTATAAAATGATTATTTTTCACAAATAATATGGTAATTTTTTGGGGGTTATTTAAATCAACAATACACTTTGACCCATTTAAAAAATAATTTTTCAAGTAAAAACAGAATTTTAGAAAAGTTATTTTAACGACATTAAAACTAAAAATACAGGAGGATGTACAACGTTATTTTAGTAAAATTTAATAGTAAAATTTTTAAAGAATTTTAAGAATGTTTCCAATGACGTCATATACTAAAACTTCTATGAATTAAACGCACTTAAATAAATTATCAAGTCTGTATAATGCGCCTGGAAAATCGTGTTGAAAATATCCAAGAACATAGTAAAACTTCGATATTTATTATGTGTTGTGGCTCTGCTTTTGGAGTAATGCAACCACCTATGGTAGTTTACAAAGTATTGAATGTATATCAAGGTTGGGTGACCGGAGGGCCACAGGAAACAGCCTACAGTTGTACAAAAACAGGTTGGTTTGATATGGAAAGAAAATGGTTTAAAGCATAAACCTTCGAGAAATGGTTTAAAGCATGTTTCTTGCCAAACGTTCAGCATTTAAATGGGCCCAAACTACTTTTAGGAGATCATTTGGCCTCTCATTTTAATGGAGACGTTATAAAACTAGCCAAGGAGCATAATGTTTACTTTGTTATGTTATGCCACCAAATGCCACACATATAATGCAGCCATTAGATGTATCTGTCTATGGTCCTATGAAGCGATGTTGGAGGCAAGTATTAATTAAATGGAAGAAACAAAGCAGAAAATCTGGATGTTTTCCTAAGAACATTTTCCAGGTCTATCGAAAAGTTTATCTTTTAAGTTGCAAGACACTATATGTCAAAATTTAGTTTCTGGATTTCATACATGTGGGATATATCCAATAAATCGTATGATCATTTTAAAAAAGATGCCAGAATTCCAGACACCAGGAGCATTGACAAAAACTATTTTAAACGATTCAGTAACAACATTGTTAATGTCTAATCGTGGCGCATATGAAACAAAAAATCCCAGGGGTAATAAGTTAAACATTGCATCAGGGGCAGTTTTAAATGTTGTTACAGAAAATAACAGTAATATTTGTTTCATCTGTGGAAAAGAAGACGACAAAGAAACCGGTGAAATCATTGAAGAAAAGGAGGAAGTTTCAGATGATTGGACTGGCTGTGAGCGTTGCGGTCGTTGGTATCATTCAAAGTGTTTGGAAGATGCTATGTCGATTGAGTGCATTGTATGCCAAAAACAATAATTTGCTTTGTATTTTTTTTAAAGGCAAAATGACTTCTGTATTATTCACTTTACAGTAATGAGTAATTTAAATGTATAATCCTATTAAAAAATATTGATTCTTAATTATTATTTATTATATATAAGTATATTTGAAATAGTTAGTTTATCAATAGTTTTGTTATTGTTCTGTTATATAAAATAGGACTGTTCTCTTTAAATAAAACAGCTTTTTGCCAAGGTACATGCTACTAAGCTACATATTACTAAGATAATGCTGAACTCATTGAAGTTAGAAATTCAACTTTTAAAATCCTATCATTAAGCGTCCGGAGTTACCTAGTTTTACGAATTTGATTTTTTGATTTTCAAAGCGTTTATTTAAGGTAATAATCTATAGAAGAGCTTAAAACCAGTATGTCTTTATGTTCATCATTATTAGAGTGTTTGGTTAACACAAAATGAAGCATTTTGAATTGCTTTTAAAAAAACAGTCAAACATTTTATATCTAAAATCGTCCGGAGCTACCCCGGTTGACGGTAATTTATGGACGACCCCAAAGGTAAGCATTAAAAAAAAGTTGCGCATATTATGTCGATGGATTATTATATGGTTAGTATAATATATGTCGATGGGTTAATATATGCCGTTAAGAAACTGAAAAATGTTGTAAAGTTATTTTACTGGCTTCATATTTCTATTTTATATATTTTTTTCATTTTGAATAATATTTGAAAGGTAAAATATTGCAATTTTCGTGGTAAAATAAATATACTGAGCTCAAAAATCATAGTTGGGAAAAAGTTATATCAGTTTTAGAGGACTAGGGGTTTCTAGATTAAACTTATGAAAAGAAATTACTCCAATATAAAAGTTGGTTCTGAGGGGTTTTGCTCACCTCTGGCCCACTGTGCAGTTTTTGATTTTGAAAATGCATTATTGCTCTGAACTGGTTTAAGTCATATATAAACCATCATCCACAAAGTGTTACTGTTGGTAATATCTCATCCAGTACTAAGTTCACATCTATAGGTGTTCCTCATGGTTCAACTCTGTATCCCCTTCTTTTTCTTATCTACATAAATGATTTAAACACATAAGTACTCAAAAGTGTATCTATTTGCTGATGACACCAACTTCCTGATTGTAGATAAGTCTTTAAAAAAGCTAAATTATAAGTACCTAAATTATGACCTGACATTAAATTATGACAACCATTGACACACTAGTTCAATGGTTGCAATCAAACAATATATCTTTAAATATCAAAAATAAAACTGAATAGTCCTATTTAAACCTCAAGGCAAAAAAAGTACTAAAAAACATAATTTTAGAATTAGTGGTAAAAAAACTAAATATAGTTGATAAAATAAAATAGCTAGACATCATTAGATGAAAATCTTTTGTTCATTCAACAAATTAAATCTATATCAAACAAACTTAGTTGAGCAAATGGAATGCTTACCAAAATAAAGTATTTTGTGAATTATGAAACCCCTGTGAATATTTGGCATGCTATTTTTAATTCCCATCTACATTATAGTTGTCAGATATGGGAACAAAGTTCATCCATTTATAAAAAAAGCCTTCAGAATAAATCATTAAAAATGATTCACTTTCAAACTAACAGTTTTATTGCATATATATTGTATAATCTTTCTAAAATTTTAAAGCTTGATGAATCTACTTATCAAACTGTGTACATGTATAGGACATTATACACAATAATATACCCAGCTGCTTCAGTTATTTTAAATTCACAAATGATATTTATAGTTATAAACTTAGGTCTGTATCTTATTGTAGTCTCTCTATGCCTTCAAAACAAACACATAAGAATGGCATATGGTCATTGAAGTATCAATCAATTTAATCTTAGTATCAATATTTCTATTTTCTTCTAAAATATTATGCTTAAAAAATTCTGGTCCATAGCAAAATTCTCCTTGGACTTCTACTTCTTCAACTCTTCTTTCCAAGTCGTTAAACTTCTCTCCAATTTTTTTCTCCTTTTTATCTGTTATATTTTTTTGTTATTGATATTATGATTTTTATATATATTTTTTTTGCATTATTACTAATTGCTTGGAAAACACTCTACCATACTCTTCTCTGACAGATTCACAAGGATTTTAAGGTCGCTATATATGGTACAAATACTTTTACTCATAATTTATTTTATGACTGATAAATACTATTTGCTACAAATGTTTTATTTTGATTATAGTAGTAAAAATGTATAGAGATTATATTGTTTTATATTGCTGTGTTTAATATTATTCTTACTATTATTATTATTATTATTATTATTATTATTATTATTATTATTTATAAATGTTTCATGTTTTTAGATAAATTTAATCTTTTTAAATACTTACATTTTTAGATTAAGTTTTATCTTTAAGCAATGAAAGTTGTTTTGGTAGGAAACATTAATGTTGGAAAATCATCTTTTTTTGTACGCTTTAAAGATGATAGATTTGTAGAAAAACTAAATTCAACAATAGGATTAGACCAGTGTACTAAAGAAATTGCATTAAGAGATGGCAAAATGGTTAAGGTAATCTTTTAAAATCATATTTGTTAAAAAGTCTTAAAATTCTATACAAGAGTTTGATTGAAGCAATTTTTTTAATCAACTTAATATTTTGTTTTCTACTATTTTTAAAAAAATTTTTTATGTTTGACATGTATTTAAATTAAAAACAAATCTTTTACTGGATGCTCTTCTTGTTATTGGTAATAAAATGTTTTATCTAGTTATATTCTATTTAAAATTATTTAACTTAATATGATAAATTTAAAAGTTATTTTAATTTTTTTTTATTTCAGAACGTATTAACTAAGTATTATTAATGTGAAATAAAAAAAATAACATATTTGTAGGTTGCTATTGACTTTATTTTTGGGATCCTAATAAAAAGGTTTTTGTTTTTGTTTTGTTCTTGTTTTCCTATTTTGCTTAATACAAAAAATAGCTATTGTTTCACAAAACCTTTGCTACTAGGACAGTCATATTTTATAAATTTTGTGTTTTCATGAACATTTTGAAATCAAATACTGATCATTCTTCTAAAATGTTCCTATACTGCTAGAAGTGTTTATAAGATCCAAGAATTTTTTTTGAATATTTGAAAACTTTCAGGAAACTTTTAGAACTTTTTGGAAACTATCATATACAAGCTTTATCGGAAACCCCATGCGGTCATAATCCGTATTCGTCCACGCCTAAAATAATTTTTATTTGACCATGTTTTGATTTAGTAAGCATTTTAAGAATTTGTGGCAAAATAAAGCTATAAGAAACTTAAGAGAATAAAACAGCAATATTTGAAGAAAAGAACCGAAGACTATATAAAAATAGAAAATCTAAATAAAATAAGCTAAAAAAATAGAATACTAAAAAATGAAAATTGTTGTCAAAAAAATAATATTCCTAAATATTTTATTGTTTTTGTTTTCTTATTTTTGTTTGTTATTTTCCACTACCAAAATTGATACAAGTCTATGAAAAAAGAACGAAAATATGAAAATACGAAAAGTAGATAACGAATGTAAAATATTTTTTTATATACAATTTTTTCGTGACTTTTTCGGTCAGTATATTAAGGACAGGAATGGCATGCAATCGCACTCTGTAACTGACCACTCTAATAGTATTTCTTTCTTGACTACTTGACGACTGCTATTTTGATGTATTAACAATTAAAATGCAATTAAAAAAAAGTGTTATGCTATGAATAACTTTTAAATTTTGATCTTTTCCAAAGTTTTTATTTTATGTGAAGGCTTTAAATAAAAATATAAAATTAATTATAATGATTGTTTAAATAAACAAATTTTGTGTAAATTAATAAAAAATCTTAAATTTTTTTATAATTAAACTTACAATTTTTTTATATCTTCTAAACAAGCATGTGTGGTATAGTGGTAGTGGTATAGTGGTAGTGAGCTCCCTTCATAAGTGAGAGGTTCTGAGTTCGATCACCGCCATGTCTTTAGTAGTACCGTGCTCAACTTATTTCTCCACGCAGCAGCTTTGTTTGTCAATGTTTGTGTTTTGGGGTTATAGAGTTGAGAAAGGGATATAACCACAACTAAGTAGCCTCCTTGTCTGTAGTGGCCTTCCCAAAGTTGTGCGGCCTTGGAGAGGTGAATTAACATTTAAAAAAATAGCTCCAGTATCACACAACTCCAAGCAAAGCATTACTTACTTTTCTAAGAAGATCAGCTACCTTCAAGAGAAAATACCAAGTCCAACAGCAAGAAATATATTGGAAATTACAGTTTTCAGATGTGTTGAGGTAAGGAGACTATACTTTCCTAACCAGAAAGATATCAACAATATAATCAGAGACAAAAGTCATACCAAATTAAATGCCAAGCTTCTGCTATCTGAGCTAAAACAGTAAATTTATTTAATAAAGATGTGCAACTAATAAATCAAGGAATGCATCCAGAAAAATTTTCCAACTTTCTAACTTAAAAGTTTAAATTTAATTTGAAGGAATATAAAATGATTTTGCTATATTTCTTAAGGAAATTTTTTTTTCTTTGTATTTGCAAACTTATTTATTATGCTAAATTGTTAAAATGTTTATCAAATCCATTGCAAAATTAGCATCTGCTTAGGCTGTACTCTTTATCAAGCTCGACACTTTCTTACTCTGGGTTCTATTCTTTATCTCTATAAATCTCAAATCCGACCTTATATGGAATACTATTGCCATATCTGAGGTGGATCTTCTAATGATGCCCTTTCTCTTTTAGACAAGGTGCAAAAATGTATAGTAAATATAGTTGGACCTGCTCTTGTAGCCAACCTCCAACCATTATCACATTATTATAATGTTGCTTCTCTTTCTCTTTTCTACAAATACTATAATGGGCACTGCTCTAAAGAGCTAGCGTTTCTTGTGTTACCTACTAAAATTTATTCTTGTGTTACTCGTCATTCAATTAAGTCTCATCCTTTTTCTGTGACTATTCTAAGTGCTCCAAAAACTCTTATTCCTTTAGTTTTTTACCTCAAACATCAGTTCTTTATAATTCGCTTTCTTCACCTTGCTTTCCTGATTCATATAATTTGCAATCTTTTGAGTTGTTCGTCAATCATTATCTTGATCTACCAACTTCATCTTTTCTCTTTCATTAACTTCCAACTCTTATAGTGGTTTCTTGCAGCTTTGTTAGAAATAACGATGTAAAAAAAAAAAAAAACTTTTTGTTTTTTCTCTGTCATAGATTAAAATCTGTGAAAACAACCGAAATTTGAAATGCAAGGGGGGGGTCTATTGCTATCCTAGGCCCTGTTAAGAAGCATTATGCAGCTCGCATTTTACATACTATGTGACATTTTGCATATACATTAAGGTGTCAGAAAAATATGGAGAAAAAAACTTTTTTTTATAAACTTCTCTTGTGCACCCAAAATTCCTTGTCTATACTATGGTAGAAGCTAAATACATACTAAAAAAATGTTCTCAGTTCATTATAAGTGCTTAATGTAAAATTCTTAAATCTGCCTTTTTTTAGCTAGAAAAGATCAAAGTATGATTGTTTTATTCATAAATATATCTCAATATTATCATACAAAAAGCTCTAAATTTTTATAAGTTTTTTTTTCTCTATTGGTTACTTTTTTCTATCTTGCAATCAATAGTATATTTTGAAGCTGTTCTTCCTTTAGAAAAAATTTTAAAAAGTCATTTATTAAACCAATGTTTCTTTCAGCCCAGTCTTTAGTTACACTAAGTCCTTCAACAAAATTTTCAAAAACACTATATGATTAAATTTTTTGAGAGGTCGGGATGAAAATGAACCCAATCTTTGACTTTATAATTTATAATTCCTAGGCATATAAATATAAGCCAGGTCTCAGCAGTAACAAGCTCTGAAAGCTTGCTGTTTTATTAGATTAAAGCAGGATTTTTCATATTTATTTTTTCTTGCTCTGGAACTGGAAAAGAAATTTATAAATTCAAAATCTGATACTTGAAAAACATTTTCGAGTGAGAGTCCACTAGTGAAAACACAACTACTGTTAAAGAAAGTTGCCACACATGTTTATGAAAATTTTCATAATCATTAAGTACAGCATGTTGAGCATTTCTAGGCTTAAGTTACCATGGAGCAACAACATTAAAGGAACAGGTTGTTTTTTTTTTTTTATTTTCATCATGTAAAAAGGTTATAATAGTAGATTTCATTTCTAGTGAAAGAATATGCAAAGCATCATCTATAAATCTTGCCTTGTGACAAGCTCCAGGTTGGTGGATTTTAACTTTATTAAACATATCAGATTCGATGCCAAGATAAAATATCCAAATATTTTACAAGGTAGTTATAGTCATTTCTTGGAAAAATTCTCCAATGAATAAATTCAGGGTTGGCAAAAACCCAGGTTTTTTTTAGAAAAACCAGGCCCAGTGGGTTTTTTTTGGGTAATTTTGGGTTTTATTGAATAAATTTTTTTTTGGGTTTTATTTTTATTTCTTCTCTGTACAAAAACAGAATAAAAAACAAAAAAATTTTTTGTTTTTTTTGTTTAATGATATTGAAAATTAGTTTGATTTTCTACTTTAACTTTATTTAAAATATATTTTATATATTATTATTTAATAATTTATAAAAAGAATTTTTCAAATTATTTTGAAAAAGATTTTTAAATATAACTTAAAACTGAAACAGAAAAAAACACATTAAATCTCTATGTATTGATTTATTTTGAATTTAAAAGTATTATTCTATGCAGGGCTTAATTTAACAGTCGGACATCGGGCATTTTCCGGCTAAAACCTCAGATTGTCTGATCAATTTACAAAGTCTTAGGACATTTTGTCCTGCAAGATTTTTAATTCTTTAAAATAAAATTTTATTTGTTGATTTGAAATTGACAAATTTAAACTTAATGTAAACTATTAGACAAACTTATAAAATATGTTAATAATGGAGGCATTCATTCCCCAAAAAAGCGCTTTTTTAAATTGTATTTTTAATGACTGTTCTTTAACAGTTTTATTGTTATATTATTAAATTTAAAGTTGTTGCTTATTTAAAACGATGGCACAAGTCAAAGTATGTTCGATTGATTACTGCAAACTACGTGGACACCGAAAAGCAAAGAAAAGTTTCCTTCTGGAGCTTTAATACCAGCTCCTAGAAACATTGTTTATGAGTGAATGCTAGTTCCACATCTAATGCAAACAGGTGTTGTAGGTGATATAAGCGTTTCTATCAAACTCTATTGCTATTTCTGAATAGTCAGACTTGAAGAGTTTTTGACTTTTTACTTTTGTGAAGTTGGTTTTCATCGCTTTCTTAAAAATGGAAATCACTAGCAACTGAAGACTGGTGAGCATCAGAACCTAAGTAACGAAAAGCGTTAATAACTTTATAAAGTAAATAAATTTATTTTTAAAATTTTTGAATTAAAGTTTAAGTTATAATTTACCTGGTACCTTAGATTCATCTGAGGTATCAGGTAAATGATCATTGTCACGAGAGATCACTTCATCCATTTCTAAATCAATTTTTCGATCCAATCTAAAACTTTCATTA